CACACACACACACACACACACACACAAAAAAAAAAAAAAAGAACAATAATAAAATATGGCAGTGTATATTTCCATGTTCTGGCTGATTCATTCCGATTTTGCTCACCCTACACACACACACACACAGACCGACATTGCCAGGCTTCACCAAATGAGCAAAATGGGATTGAATCTTCCCCTGGAACACGGAAGTATCCACTGTCACAACATGGAAATATACACTGCCAAAGAACAAAAATGTGGCAGTGTATATTTCCATGTTCTAGCGACAGATTCGTTCCCATTTTGCTCATCCTATGGATGGGAAACTGTGTGTGTGTGTGTGTGTGTGTGTGTGTGTGTGTGTGTGTGTGTGTGTGTGTGACAGCTCCTTAGTCCATACTCACACCGGGATTTCTTTTCAATGTATCTTTCCACAGTTAGGGCCATACTGACTTCTGGGACGTTTTGGGACATACTCACACGAGAGAGAGAGAGAGAGAGAGAGAGAGAGAGAGAGAGAGAGAGAGAGAGCGTTTTCCATCAAGAAGATGAGCAACGCACCGGCCAATAGGTAAGTCTCCAACCCCGCGGCTGGTCTCTCCAATTTCGCTGTGTTTCTCGCGTTTTCATTTCGGTGCATGGCGGGTTTGTTGTCCCATGGGTGTGGGGCAACTTGCGCCTTCGAAGCCGCACCGCACTAAACGACAAAAAAAAAAAAAACGAAACATACCACACGGGATTTTTTTTTTTTTGTGTGTGTGTGTGTGACCGTGCGTCGCTGTGCATATCAGACGCGTGCGGCTATGTGATATTCTGCCTGATTTGTGCGACGGGGGCATGCATGTGATATGCACAGCAACACACTATTCGAAAACGCGTCCCCCGTCGCACAAATCAGGCAGATCACACGAACGAATCTTTCGGTAGAACATGGAAATATACACTCTCCGATTTCGCTGTGTTTCTCGCGTTTTCATTTCGATGCACGGCGGGTTTGTTGTCCCGTAGGTGTCGGGCAACTTGCGCCTTCGAAGCCGCGCCGCACTGAACGACAAAAAAAAAAACAAAGGCAGAACACACGAACGAATCTTTCGGTAGAACATGGAAATATACACTCTCCGATTTTGCTGTGTTTCTCGCGTTTTCATTTCGGTGCACGGCGGGTTTGTTGTCCCGTAAGTGTCGGGGAACTTGCGCCTTCGAAGCCGCGCCGCACTAAACGACAAAAAAAAAAAAAAACGAAACGTACCACACGGCCTGTCCCATCCAACCGACGGCCGGGCCTCGTTTTTCCTGGGCCCGAAGGGAGCGTCTTACCGGGACCGGCTTTTCCTTTAAGTATTAGACAGAAACAGCTCGCTGGACCTGGTTTCCAGCAGGTGATACTCCCGAGTCCCCGCCAATAGATGGAGTCTCCCTCAGGGTGCTACAGTCTTTCCCCAAACAAAACGCACGTATGTACTATTCAACTTTTCCTGGAAAAGTCGATTTCTCGAAGTCACCCCCCGAAATTCAAATAGTACGCATGTATGTTCTATTTGAACACACGGGTGTTCTATTCAAACAGAACATACAGAATGTCGTGCTCATTTTCAAAAATGCGTGCCCTGCAGTGCTCCTCCTGCTCTCTCTCTCTCTCTCTCTCTCTCTCTCTCTCTCTCTCTCTCTCTCTCTCTCTCTCTCTCTCTCTCTGTGTGTGTGTGTGTGTGTGTGTGTGTCTGTGCCTTACGTGGAGCTCTTCTTGGTGGCTTACTGCGATGGCGGGTGGGGGTCCTCTTGGCGGCTTACTGCGATGGGGGATCATGGCCGCGTGGCAGATCTTGGCGGGTGATGGCGATGTTCTAAGACGGCATCGATGTCGGACAACTCTGTTTGAATGTTGTGCACAGCTAGTATTGGGGCCGACTGTTCGAATGCTACATGCAGTCAGGGCGTCGCTCCACTACTCTCCAAATGCACAATAGATAAAAAATGTGGCTATGTATAATTCCATTTTCAATGTAAGATTCATTTTGCACATTTGGTGCATACTGGAAGGGGGCCCCAATATCAGGCCCCGTGTGTGCATGTTTTTGTTTTTTTGTTTTTTTTCCCCTTAATGTTGACGGTTTCTCGATCTTTTAAAAAAAAAATTCTCGATGTGTGTGTGTGTGTGTGTGTGTGTGTGTGTGTGTGTGTGTGTGTGTGTGTGTGTTTTCCCCTAATGTGGACCGTTTCTCGATTCATGTGTGTCGCTCCAGTTTTAACGGATACCCCGAAGCCATTGTCTGTTGAAAGGTAAGGGCATATACTTCATTTTTTTGGGGTCCTGGTTCCCGAAGTTGGTGCCCAAAATTCGTAGCATAACGCACGTGCCTTGTATACAAACACAACACACGTGCCTTGTATACAAACACAACACACCCCGTGCATTTTATTCATATAAAACGCATGTGCATTTTATTCGGGGGAAGACTGTAGCAGTGTGTGCTGGTATCAGCACTGCTAGCACCTAAAAGGGATGTTAAAAAAAAAAAAAAAAAAAGTCGCCAAGCCTCAACAGTGCAGAGTTCAGCAGCCCAGATCCAGCATCCTAGGTAGGTGACCTCCTCTTTCCCTGTCTCTTGCCCTCTCTCCCTCTCTCCCTTCATGCATGTGTTAACTCTCTCTCTCTCTCTCTCTCTCTCTCTCTCTCTCTCTCTCTCTCTCTCTGCATGAAGATCTTGACTCTGAATACATCCGCTACCACTCAGCTCTACCTCCTACTACTAGCTGTGCGGCTATGGCCACCTTCCTCTCACAGTGCAGCCTGAGCGCATGCTACTCGCAGATAGCACACAAGCGCTCAGCAGCACTTCCACACTTCTCGCGAATGGGCAATCTGTCCCAAATGTGGCTGGCCAGTCCTTATATTGACTTGGACTGAGCCTTGACTCGTCCCAGGCTCTGCTTCTCGTGGCTTGGCTTGGACCTGGTACCAGCTGCCCATGGCCTGTTTGCTTCAGGAATATTGAGGCCCGGCACCTCCCTGAGTTTCCCTCGGTGTCCTGCTGCTTTTGGGTCTGTAGTACGCGACCTTTGACTCTGGGTTGTGACCCTTGCCTGTTGGATATGGCGTTTGACTGCGAGACGTGACTTTTGCGTATGGGATGTGCCGGTTAATCGGGTACCTGATGGACGTGACCTCTAGGGTACCCGACGTAACCTTTCTGAATCTGGCCGACCCGGCGTCTTTTGGGTTGGGGACTTCGACCCTGAGATTCCAATTTGGGGTCTGCATCGTGAAATGCCTGTCACAGTAAAGAAAAGAAGAAAAGAACAGGACATGCAACTGATGGTTATAGGTTGTTTCTCCCACCTTCACGAGAGAGATATTGTCCGGATCCCGAGTCTATGTTATAGCTCCAAGCTTCTCTCTGGAAGATGCGCTCATCCGTCAGCACCGCCGGATGAAACACCCCATCCCACCATACATCCAAAATATTGTACAAATCCTGCAACAAGGAAAGGAAGAAGGGAAAAATATTGGAGACAAGGTTTAGTCACACGTAAACAAGCAGAGAGAGGCAGAGAGAGCGAAGTCATACATAAGAAAGGAGGCCGGGGAGAGAGAGAGAGAGACAGAGAGAGA